CATTTTTCTAAAAAAAGTACTCCTTTTGCCCATCCAAAGTTATGTTAAATGATCAATCCACGTGCCTATCGTGTGGCCCATATACAATAATTCAAAATGGTTTTACTTATTTGTGTCTAATAATACCTACCAGTATTACAATCTCCTTAAAAATTTAATAAAATATCGTGATTTTGATGTTTTTGGTTCCTCATGTTTGCTTTTTATCCTCTCCGATTGCTTATTTCCCTTTTTATATGTTCGTATTACCGCCACAAATTCGTCCAATAACATTTTATGGTTTTTTTTGTTTGTACCTTACTATATTGGTGCCACTTTTACGCCCCTCGAACAAACGATCTATCGATTGTTTCCTATTCAATATTTACTTTTCGTTGACAAAAAGCCTCTTCTCATTTTTTGGTTTGTTGAATGTGCTCATCATTAATTTCTCTGGTGTGATCTACCCCCTCCCCCATATATTCATGTGAATTTATATATATACTAGCTTTTCATTATGATTTACCATGGTCTAACCATGATTCGTATGGTTTTACAATCGCTATTAATTTACTATTAATTTACTATTAATTTACTATTAATTTACTATTAATTACTATTAACTTACTATATGTTTAATTCAACTCGAAACCAACCTGATTGGGTTACTTTATTTGTTATGTTCGCTTAACGTTAATCTTAAACCTTACTTTATTTATACACCTATTTATACGTATATGTTACTACAGTATCGAGTATATACAAAATTATGTAAAATTCTTGTGTATTTTAATATGTAAGCTATTCAATGTTACAAAATTCAATGCTAATTTTTTTATTTATTTATTTTATCATTATCCAAATTTATAGTATCTATATGTATAATTTATTTTTTTTTATTTGTTATATATTAAGTTATGTAATATAATTATGTAAATACGTATTAATGTTGCTTTAGACGTAATTCAAAAAGTTTACTTTTTAGCCTCAACTTTAAATAAATAAATACACATCGGTATACGTATGTACGTACATACGTACTTGTTTAATTGAATATTTATATATATATTTTTTTTTTGTATATTATTTTTTAATTTACGCACCATTTACTTTATGTTTAATTATATACTGTATATATATATTTATACACATATGCTGCATTGTTTTTAAAGCATTAAAATTAATAGCTTTATCAAATTATTTTTTTTGAATTATATATATAAAATATATTTTTTGAAATTTTAGCTTTTAAAACATTATTGCACTATATATAATTTAAATATTTAAATATATAAAGTTAGCTTCGATATAGTTATAATATTAAAAAAAATTTTAATAATTATAATAAATTGTAATTATTATTTATATTGTAAATAGAAATAAAGTTTAAATAAATTTAGAATTTTTTAAATTTTAAAATTAGTTTATATAAAATAAATTTTATTAAAATTATAATTTTATTAAAAAATTTAAAATCTACTATAATTTGTTTCTATTTAAAATATATATAAAAATTAATTATATAGATTAAAATTAGAATTAATATATTTATAACTATAGATTATATATATAACTATAACTATAATTAAATATAATATATATAACTATTAAATTAATTTTTTTATAAAATAAAATCTTATAATTAGTTAAAATTAAAAATATAAAGTTAAAATTAGAGTTAAAATTAAAAAAATTTAGTTTATAGCAAAATTTAGCAAAAAATTTTTTAATTAAAATATAAAAAAAGTTTTATACAGTCGATTTCACCTAAAGCCAACATATTTTTTATATAGGCGCCAATTTTTTAGCTGTGGTATAACTTAATTATCCAATAAAAATGCAGAAAAACTTAATACAATTTTAAAATTTATTAATGAAATTTGAATTTTTGTTAATAAATTCAAATTTTATTATGTTTTTTCATATATAAACACCAAAATTTTGAATCATATATAAATTTAAATTAATATAACGGTTTAAAAATAAAAAATATTCAAAAAATTTTTTGATAGTTTAATAGTTTAAACAATAAGCTATTAAATTATTAAAAAAAAATTTAAATATCTTTTGTTTTTAAAAAATTATAACAATTTAAAAAAATTTATAATTAAAAGGTGATGGCTTTAAATGAAATCCACTATATATAAATAAAATTTTTATTATTATTAAATTTAATCAATTTTATAGAATATAACTATAAATAGCTATGATTATTTAATATATTAATTTTTAAAATTATAATTATATTAAAAATAATTAAAATAATTAGAAAAAGAAGTTATATATATATAGAGAGGGTGAAAACTCAAATATATCTTATTTTGAGATAATTAAGTTTAATCACTTGTTTTGATTTTTGAACTGATCCAGATCAATCAAAATTTTATGATTTTGATTAGTTAAAGGTAATAGGTGATTACCAGGCAATCTCGTGATGTACTCTGTTTTATACAATTTTGTGCAACTTTTCTTTTATATTATTTTAATTTTTCATTATGCAAATCGACTTTCATTTATAATCAAAAAATGTTAATCACATTGAAATTTACCCAAATTTAATAAAACTCAATTTTTATTTTTGGGGTAGTTTTTGCCTTTTCTATTGTAAAGGCTCCATATATTCTAAAATACAATATATCTGTATTATATAATTTATATATTATATTGATAATATGTATATATTATATTAATATATATAATTATAGAACAAATTTAATTAATACTAGAGGATATTAATATCCTACCCTATAATAGGCAATAAAATTTTAGAATATAATCACGTAATATGGTTACAAAAATATTAGATTTACATTTGTGTACCTTTTATATCTATTTTTGTATAATGTTATAGTTACACAAGTGTAATTTTTTATATTTATACTTGTGTAATCTTTTATATATAATTCGCTATCAAGAGAAATTAATCTACATATAAATATACTGTTACAGATATCAATTGCATTCACGAAATTTTGTTGAATATGATAAATTATAGATTTACAAAAAAAATAAAAATAAAAAAAAAAATTCAAACTAAACCGATTTATTCTATAAACTAACTTACTCAAACTAAAAATATTACTAATGCTTACCGTTACCCGAACCCTAATCTAAATCAAAACCACTAAAGTGATCACTCTAAGTTAGTGACTACTACCCTAACCCAAACCAAAACTATAACTACTGTAACACTTACCCTAACTCTAACCTAAATCAAAGAATATTACTAGCATTTAATCTAAACTCAAAGTGATTTTTTTATATAAACTACACCAACCCTAATTTTTAAAGGAAGTTATTTAAGCTTCATTCAATATATAAACCAGCTATGAAATAAGATTCAAATTGATTTCAAGTAAAATACTGTATACAATTTTTTACAATAAAACATAGTATTTTTATACAAATACACATAGTATAAATTCAAAAGCATAAATCAAAGTATAAATTCGCAAAGCATAAATTTATAAATAACATACAATTTTGTACCAACTCTATGTAATTATTTTTTCAGAGGGCAATTTCGAGAATCATGATACCATGACTTACACATAGCATATTGCCGCTTGTTTTTCTTTACTGATTCTGATGCTGATATTTCTTCCTGATTAATCGATACAGCACTCTTGGTATCATGATTCTCAATGGCTGACAAGTACCTTTTGTTTGCAGGGCAGCCTCTACCTTTGTGTTGAAGTGGATTTGAAATTGTAGAACTATTGATATTTTCCTGTTCAGATAGCTCAGTGCTTTGTATTGAAACAATTTGATCATTAATAAATCATTGCAGAAGACCTTCTAAAGCACCGTTAGAACTATTCGTGATTGCTATATCTAAA